CCAGCACACAGGAACTGTCTCAATGCCACTCTCACACTTAACTGGGATAATTTGTGCACCTGCCCATGCTGCCCAGTGTGGAAAGTGGCATTTCATTAGAAACAAGCACAAAAATCCAACCTTTTCCACCTGGCTCCCGTCACCCCCTGCCTTTTCTTCCATGGGTTTTCTATTTTCCAGCCAACCCCACTCCATCCCAGCCTGGCTGTGGTTCTGAGTTCACCTCAGCTGTTCCCGGGGATGCATTTCAAAGAGCAGGACACAGGGAATGGGTTTAAACTGGGATGTTCAGCTGGGATGTTTTTCCCAGCAGGGGTGGGAAGGGGATCACTCCCTCTCCCATTCCCTGCCGCGTGCATCCAGCCCTTCCCATCCTGCTGCTGCACGAAGATCTGGAAAACTGCATTTTCCTGGAATCCAGAGGGGTTTTGATTATCTTGGAGTGGAAAATGAGCCTGGCAGGAGCAGGATGGGAGCTGGGGAGCAGCAGGTGCTGCACCCTCAGTGTGGGGAGACATCCACACCTCCTTTGGGCACATTTTGGGAATGCTGGGCAATGAATGCAAGCCCCCAGCAAAGGTCAGGGGTGGATTGGGAAGTTCAGGATGCCAGGGTGCTGGATGGAGCAGCTGGAATGAGGCTGGAAAACTGCATTTTCTGCTTTCAGAGATCTGAGCAGCTCCCTGAATCCACCAGGGCTGCAGAGATAACGGATTTCTCAGGTTTGCTGGGAAAAAAATCCCAGCAAACTCCTTTCAAAAGCTGCCTGAACAAAAAGGGAATAAAAGCTGTGACAGACAAAAAGGAGAAAAAAGAAAATTTAATTTAGTTCGGGTCAAAGGGAATTGCCACTGAGAAGCCTTGGGGGTGTTTGTAAACAGGATGGGCCGAATTTGAGAGGGAAGGAGCCTGAGAAATTCGCGGGTGTCTCTGTCACTCCTCTTTGTCCCCTGATGAGGGTCAGCATCGTTAATTAGGGGCCAGCTGATCGGTATCTCCCTGATAAGAGCCCTGTCATGGAAACCCCGAGTGCCACAGCCAAGATCTCCAGAGCCTCGGCAAATCAGCGCTTTATTCAACCTCCAACAAAGAGTATTTTCCTTTCAAAACCCGAGTTATTCAGCTCCGTGTGACTCCTGCTCCTTTGTAAAGGCAGGTGGCACTTCCAGAGGGGGAGTTCAGGCCCTGCCTTATCTCCAAAACTCTCCCAAAGGATGAGTTTCCAGGAGCTCTCACCTCGCTGGAGATCACACCTTTCATCCCCAGCTGCTCCCAGGGTGTTTTCAATGTCTTGGCCTTGCAAATTGGCCGTGATGGAGCAGCTGGAAAGTTTTTTTCAAGGGAACAAGGCTTTGGAGACCGGCAGGAAAAGCGGGAATGAACACCTGCCT